GAGTTGTATCTGAACTAATGGACATTAATATTGGAGTGCCCCAGGGCTCATGTTTAGGGCCATTGCTATTTCTTCTCTATATTTACCATCTACCACTAGCTGGCGAAAATTTCAAAGTAGCAGTTTACACTGATGATACTAGTCTCTCTTATCGATCTGATAACATTAACTAGCTAAATGATGCAATGAATAAGGACGTTACTAGAGTCTTGAAATGGTTGAAGGATTGTCACTAAATGTTGCTAAAACAAAAGCAATGGCTATTCCAGCAAAACAAAAGGCAATGCAGGTAGCTAATAATAATAAAGCATTATCTTTAAACAGACAGGAAGAACGAATATATAGTGTCAAAATTGCCAAATGTCTTGGAATACAATTAGACAACAACCTTAACTGGAAAGGTCACATCAGATCTCTGTCAAAAAAATCAGTCGAGCAATTGGCTTTCTTAAAAATGCCAAAGAATTTTTAACACAGAAAATTCCCAAGACACTTTATGCTTTATACTGGTACTGTAGAGCCCTAATTAAGATACTGTTACTTAGTTCTGGGAAACTGTGCTGCAACCGAAAAAACATTTGCAAAAACTTGAAATCGAACAGCAAGAATAATCAGAAATAGCCTAATGCTAGACCACTGTTAAATGTTCTTGGACTCGAACCACAGGTTTAGATCAATACTGAATCTAACAATATGGTTATCAGACATAAGGGGCCCTACGGAGCCCTAATTAAGATAATTTTGCTTAGTTTGGGGAAACTGTGCTGCAACCGAAAAGAACCATTAGGAAAAACTTCAAAACCGAGCAAGAAGATTAATTACAAATAGCCGTTTTGATTCTGATACTGGACCACTTTTAAATACTCTTGGACTTAAACCACTGCAGGGTTAAATCAATACTGATATTAACACTTTCGTTTACAAGGCATTTAATTGACTAGCGCCAGAATGTTTATCGGACTTATTTGTAAGAAATTCAGGAAGTCATTTGCGGGCTCTTTGCAAAAACAATATAGATGCTTATCTTGGGCAAAAATGCTCATCTTGTAGCGTACAGGCATGGAAAGCGTACAGGCATAAAATTCTCTACCAGTAGACAGGTATCTTCCCTACATGTCTTCAGAACCAAAATTAGATACAACCTATTGAACTATATATCTATGTATATATTGTAAATTTATTTTGTATATATGTTATATATTTTATATAATGTATATATATTATATTATATATTTTAAGTTATATTATGAATTAGCTTTGGTTTTTATTTGCAAAATTGTAAATTAAATGGAGGGCTCGTTGTAAAACAAGAATTTGCTGAAGGGCTACTTTCCTTAAATTATTTGAAAAGGAAATAGAAAAACAATTATTTTCTCCCTTTTTTTGTAGTCAAATGCAAATAAGAAAGCAAGAGATGACTTTTTGGGAGAGGCAGCATATATGGGACAATTTGATGACCCAAATGTCATACATCTCGAGGGTGTGGTCGTTAAAGGTATACACACTTTTATAAGAATACCTATTTTTTTGCCAAGCCTCGATTTTCTTAAAAATTTCCGATTTTGTGCCCAAGATTATTCTTAAATTATTCTTGCCTAACACAAGTTGTAAATTCGCCTTAAGCCCATTCTTAAGCTTTAAAAATTTTGAGCCTCAATGTTCTTATAGACTTCATTCTTATAAAAAGTGTGTATAATTTATTTGCTTTGAAGGAATATCTTTTCCAGATCTTCTGATAGATTTGTAGATTTCTTTGTTTGTGAGCATGCAACTCAATTCCTAGCCAGTCTACCCATTGTGCAATCTACCTTGTAACAACTTGGCTTGCATATAAGTACTTCTCGATATTTATGATCCGAAGCACTTCCTGTCTCGTTCCGGAAAGCATAAATTACGTGGTCTTCAAGTTTGTCTGCCAATACTTATAAAATATTTACTTTTTTTTAGACCTTCCCATATTGATTGTCATGGAATTCATGAGCAATGGATCGCTTCAATCCTTTCTACAAGTATGCTAACTAAATTTCAATTCACTCCCTCAAACTATTGCAACTTGTTCAATTAGGTATGAGTATATAGTTAACCTAATCTTTATATTGAAATCTCCTTTATGAATCATTCTCAATAAAGCAAAAATAACACTTTAAACTAGCTGCTTTCATAACTAAAGCCAATCGAATGTCCCATTTTGGATCAGTTTACAAGCAGTTGAAAAGTTTAGAATCCTTTGTTATGTACTGACGTTTTGATGTAGCTGTTAGAACCCAGTTCCCTTGTCATTACTAATGAAGGGGCTGGGTAATCCTTATATTGTTTTAGTGATACAGTAGTAGGCGTGGTCGCACAAAACAGTGAAAGCAGTCCGCCAATGCTTTTAAGGCATCTGAAGAAGCGTTGTATGCCGGGTCGAAATTTTAGTCGATTCAAACTTGTATCAAAAATATTCTACTTATGTTCCATTGCTATTTGTCCTTCTTTGGTTTATTGAGTCTCTCAATCTGAAGAAATGTAACAGAACCTTTTATATCTCCACAGAAAAACGATGATAAATTTACTGCACTCCAGTTACTAGGAATGGCCCGGGGTGTGGCTTCTGGAATGAAGTATCTGTCTGAAAAGAGCTACATCCACAGGGTAGGTGTTGGTTTTATCGTCAATCAAAGCTTTAGTAACAATTTACCTTGTATTGCCTGTACAAAATTGAGATTAAGCCAAATTTTCTTTCGAATATTGTTATTAGATTAATGTAGAAGGGGATCCGGACTAGGTTTGTTTTCCATTGGTTCTGTTTCCAAAGAATGCCAGTTTTCTATTGAGAAATGATTAGATTTGACGGCTGGCAAATATATTACGATAATAGCAATTGCAATGGGATGAAATACACTCAATTTTATATGCAGTCATCGGGAAAAATGATACATTTTCAAATATGCGCACACTGTTTTTAAAATTTGACAGTTAGCGCATAATAGCAGTCCTTAAGTATTGTCACGTTTACAAACTGTACTCCTAATTTAACTTATGTTATTATTTCAGGATTTGGCAGCCAGAAATATTTTAGTAAATGATGACATGGTTTGCAAGGTTGCTGATTTTGGAATGAGCAGAGAATTGAGCAAGGATGATACATATGACACAACGGTAATTGAATGTTTCATTCACTGATTTATATCCTATTGGCAGATGACAAACAGATATCTTTGAGTTATACTAAATTCATGTCAGATCACCTTATCATATTTGCTGTTCCTTTTTTGATGTCATACTGGAGCAGAATAATCATCTTTAGGTCTATGTAAAGGGTAATCTCGTGCAAGCACTGGGATCTATTACCCATCTTGCTGCCCAGAATCAAAACATTTGCTGAGCGTATATTTGTTAAAGAGAACCTTCCTCCTTCATCGATCATTACTTTGTTTTCGTGGCAGATACACAGTAGTATTGAAATTCTTCTGAAACTGGAACTAAAATTTCTTAACTGTAAGCAATTTGCTGTTGCTTGTCGGGCTACAGCCAAGAAACTACAATCCCGAACAAAATTGATTGAGACTTTGCAAGGAATGCTTATATTTTCACTGTTCTTTCAAAAATAACTTTGCCCCTCCCCCAATTAAATGTTGAGTGCATGACTGTGAAGCAAAAATGTTGAACTACAAGTCCAACATTGCTTCGGGGGAAAAGGGGGATTAGAATTTACAGGGGCAAGGTAAAGTGACTATTACGAAAATTGCATTTTGTCTCAATATTTTTGTCCAGGATTGTAGGCCTATGGCTATGCATGGCTGTTGTTATCAGGTTCTATTAATCATGTGACTAACCTTTGCAACTCAAACCTGTTTTGTCTAAATACAATTTCGCTATAGATCTAAGCTCAGGGCCCACGCTACAGGGGGAGGTAGGGGGCAATGCCCCCCCCATTTTTATTTGCTAACTTTATGTATCAAATCATCCTGTTTGGTTTTAAATAGGTATCAAACCCTTCTTTTTGGCTCCCCATTTTAGAATCGGTGGCGCAGGCCCTGAAGCTGGTAAACGAAATCATGGTTGATATACTTCAACTTAATTATTTTTTACAGGGTGGTAAGATCCCTGTCAAATGGACAGCACCGGAAGCAGTCCAATTAAAGAAATTCACTATTGCTTCGGATGTTTGGAGTTATGGTATCCTGCTTTGGGAGGTAATGTGTTACGGAGAAAGGCCATATTGGAACTGGGGCAATAATGAGGTATATTCGTTAGGGAAATTTACTTTATACTTCCCCATCGTTAGGGAAATTTAGACCCCGTTTACACTGTCCCGGGACAATTTTGTACCGTTACGGTTCGCAAGTGTTTACACTGTCGCGGTTCCAAATTGTTCCGTTTAGCCGTTCTGTTTACACTGTACCGGTACGACCTTAATTTGATGGTAGAACATTGTTTAGAAGAAGCTGTATTTAGTCAACCAAGGCTTTTATTTTGCCGCTGAAGTCAACAATCGAATTTTTATTGTGAGTTAAAATGGAGCGGAAGGCCGATTAAAACTTTACTTGGATGAAAGACAAGGTGGCTTTAATTTTCAGTGTTATTTTAGACTACAAAACTGCAAAGGCCAATCAAGGCTTGGACTAGGAAACACTACAAGCCTTTTCTGTGGTCGTCTTTTCTTCAGAATTTCCTTTTCTTCAGAATTTGAGAACGTAGTTACGCCACAATCAAAGCCTCGATTACCTGAAACAGCCATACAAAAGACCTCTTTGTGAATCCGTGACAAAATCGTCTCGGATAGGTGTTTACACTGTCCCGTTCAAAAACGGAACCGTGACGGTACAAAATTCGTTCGCTTTCAAAGCAGGGTCAAAACTGTTCCGGATAGCAGAGCAAAATCGTCACGGTTCCACAGTGCTAGTGTAAACGCAAGGGCGAACCGCGACAGTTTTGCCACGGTTCCAAACTTGCACGGGACAGTGTAAACGGGGTCTTACTTTATGCATTTCCATCGTTAGGGAAATGCTTGTAACGATAGTAATATAAATTGGGCATTGTGATGACTTTCAAGTAACTATTCTAAACCTGAATAATGGAAGTTAGCGTCCTTTCGTTATTTCATTACTTGAACACCAAGACACAGAACCAAGATCTTAAGCTTGTAAACTCTTTAAATCCATTTTCTATAATGGTAGGGGGAAATATTGTTTTTGTCAACAATTTTCAAAGATTTTGGCAATCATGTTATGTTTTTCTTTAAAGATAAATCAAGCAAAGGAGGTTTTTTAAACTTTTGTGAATACAAATATGGAAAAGACCAGTACGAAAGATTTGGCAATTAAACAAACGTAAATCAAACAGTTGGAAAAACTTATAGCTAAGCAGGATACTTTAAAAAACAACGCCTAAAAACAATGAATATGTGTACAATAAAGGAAGGAAGGAGTAAGTAATTTCTTTATGCGACTGTTGGCGCATTCTTTTTTGAACTGAAATTTCGATTTAATCCTTAATTCTTTTTTTAGGTGCTTGAACGTCTGGCTTCTGGCTTCAGACTTCCTCCGCCAATGGTATGTTTTACGTTTAAAAGTCTCTAGATTTTATAAATCTTTACTACAGCTTTTCATAGCCTTTCTTTGATCAATTACCCAAGATATGACAAATATGCCATGCTCTGTTCTTTTTATATCGAGGCTACACCTAGCTTAAACATTGTCTTTTCCTTGTTTTTTCCATGGCTTATGTTTGTGAGCTTTATCTGCTTTAAACCCTAGAATCCATATCGGGGTACTACAATGCCGACGTAAAAGCAGTTGATTTATCTTGATCCATAGAGTTCCTTGCAACAGCATTTTTGATCTAAAGATTTTCCGACAAAAGAAAATTCTGCGGGCCTACTGACGGCCTACTATTCTACAGACACTTTTCTTCTTCTATCGCAGAAGGGTTAAAAAACAGTAACAAAGCTGTTGGCAATGATTGATGTAACTTGCTTTATTGGCCTACAAATTTTAATTGGAAAAATAAATTAACTTGCTGATAATGCATCCAAACCCTAGATTCCTGAAAATACATGCATCCGTACAAATAATTTTGTTTTTTCTTCATATGTTCTCGTCATGTGCAATGAACTTTCATTTGTTATCCAAATCATCGTTTTAATAGTTCTCCCATTCTGGTAATGGTATATTTGCGAATGCAACGCTACCTTTGAATATCTTTCGTTTGCCTATTTACTGTCCTGTGTACCATAACATTACCCAATGCTTGATTCACCAGATTTAATGACGTTCTCTGATAATCAAAAACAATATCTACTTTTTAGAAATTAGGAACCTTACTAAGAGCCTATTTAGCCTAAGCTGTCAATAAGTACTCCATGAAACAAGAGCCTGTTTTGCCTAACTCTGAAAAAGTAGGTTTTTACTTTACCATATGGTATCTTGCTTCACGACGCCCCTTTTTTCTTCCCGCTGTTTGTACCCTTTGAAACGCTTTACTCTCGTCTTGGTTTCCATTCTCTCAAACTATCTTCTTTCAAAACATACTTGTTCTCCCCTTCTTTCTCTTTTGAGAACCTTCCTTCTTACGTAACTTAACATTGGCCTCAGACCTCCTTTCTCTCCTCATGGCTTTGCTATTGGCCCCAGACCTGTTGACAAAAAAATTCTTTTACTGTTTTTGAAATCATCAACGCAACTATTTTTCGGTTTTTTACCTAAGTGAATACTTCTTGCAGAGCTGCCCTAAAGTTGTACATGATCTCATGTTATCTTGCTGGCATAAAGATCGCGTGAAAAGACCCAAATTTAAGGACATTCGTGGCACGATTGATAAGTGGATCCAGAGTCCGGAGTTGCTGACACACGAAGAATCGGTTGTGACAAAGCGGTATGTTACAAGGCATCTCCTTTCAATATTCAACAAAGCTATTAAACTTGAATATGAATTTAATCATTTTGGTTATGCGATACATACTAGATTGGACGCTACATTAACTTTTGTCTCTGGTGAAGGGGGGGGGGGGGGAGGTGAGGGATGCCACTGACAAACATATGGGCAAATTGGTATAGATGTTAATATTGTTATGTTAATATATTAATATATGTTAATATTGGAGTCCACGATGTGTTAGTTTTGTTGAAAAATGACTAGTATGTTTATTTAAAATATGACCTTGGAATTTATTCAAAACATCTCAAGTGATGTTAGGATCCTAAATTAGGGCATTTTAGCTTACTTCAAGGAAAGAAGTTTTTTCTAAAAATTTATAATTTTTTACTTTTTATGCATATCCAGGGCCACAGTTTTCTTAAAAAATGACTGAAAAATGATGTTTTGCCTGACAATATAAGGTACAAATTTATCAAATTCTGTTGCAAACATAAGTTACGGCATTTTTTGGTTGCCTAAAAAAATAATTTTTGTTGATTGTGACCAGTTGTTTATTGTGACGTCTTTTAAAGGTTTTTTGTGATAGAATTTTTATAATATCATCCTAACCTTTACTTTCAGATCTGATTTCTAATGTCATGGAAGTATCTTGAAGTGACAACAAAAAGGTATTTAATGAAACTTGTTGAATGTTTTTTTTACAACAATAAAATTATTCTATATTAGTTCATGATTTCTAATTTTTGCAAATCCGGGGTCATTGTTTTTTTTAAAATGAGTAGTATTTTTGTTTCAGAATATCTGCTCGAAATTCATCCAAAACTTGTGAAATTATGTTGGAAACGTAAATTAAGGCATTCTAGGTTGCTTGGAACAAAGTTTTTCCCCGAAAATTGATAATGTTTGAATTTTTTTGCATATCCTGGGTCCAACCATGTAATAAAAAAGACTAGGATGTTTATCTTGATATATGAGCTTGACTTTCATCAAAAACACTAAAACGATGATGTGAAATTAAAATGATGTTTGAAACGACAATCAAGGCATTTTAGGTTGTTTCGTGAAAAAAATTGCTTCTTTCAGAAAAATAATTTTTTTTAGCTCTTTTCTATAAAAGGTCAAAGTTTTCTTGAAAATGACTTGTCTTATCTTCAAAATTTATCTTATAAATAACTTATCTCAGAATATTAGCTTCAAATTTATCCAAAATTCGTAAAATGGTGTTTGAAACCTAAATTAAGGCGTTTTAGGCTGTTTTGAGGAAAAAGGAATTTTCCCAAAAATTTACAATCTTTTTTTTTAATTTTGAAAGGGATTATCGAAGTTTGTTATAAGGACCAGGGTTTCGAGGTCATGGGAACCGATACCCTGGGTACCAGACTCACTATATAAAATAATAGAGAGTCTGGTCTAGTGCGCCCCATTCTCGTTCTGGTGAACTTACTTGAAAGAACTGAAGTCTATTTAACAGACTAGGCCTGTGAAACAAAACTGTCGGATAAATAACAAAGATACTCAGTAGTCAGAGGAGTTTTGGGAAATCTTCAAGCAAATGTATTTTATATAGTTCTGTAAAGTCGACATTATTAATACAGTCTGGTAATAGACTTTTCTGCCTCAAGATTCCAATCAAATCAGGTTTAAAACGCCATTTGTCAGGAAAAAACATGTGCGAAGCATCAAATTAAAGTTAGCACAATGCAGTTATTAAATGTTAATCATTATTAAATTTCGTATGCAACTTAAAATAAGTCTTTTGTAATTTTCCTCATAAATTGTGTGTACTTTCAAAGTCTACTTTCTCACTGTGAAGGCAGCGCGCTTGGACAACACGGCGGTTAGAATCATCACGTTGGAAGTTCACCACAGCAAATATGGCCAATACGACAAGCGAAGCCCCGTATGCCGGGTGAAATATTAGCCATAACTGATTTACTTGTTTTTGTTGTTGTTTGTTCTCGGCGCCTTGCGGTGTTTCTTATTTACTGCATTTCACTACAAGGCCTGATTTCTTTGCAATGAGAGGCACAGCCTGAAATATCAGAGACTTTCCAAAGCCAGTTGGCAATATGGCAAAGGTGTCTCTTCTCTCTACAAACAAGGCTTTCGTTTCAGAACATGCTGAAAATATTCTTCGAGTACAGTTTTAACAGCATCTTCAAACTCAATCGTTACGGTCGCTAGCATTTATTTATGTTGTGTTCTGTTCAATGTTTTACACCAGAGCTAAGTTTATTGTTTCGCTTTGAACGTACAAAAATCTGTACACTCGCTCCTGATTGGTTAAAATCAGCACACCAGAACGAGAATGGGGCGCACTAGACCAGACTCTCTATTTTATTTTATATATAGTGAGTCTGGTACCCAGGGTAGGGAACCGATGGTTCTTATATTTTCCTCTCCATTGGTCCCCTCTATTTGTCCCCTCCATTTGTCCCCTCCATTTGACCCCTCCATTTGTCCCCTCCATTTGTCCCCTCCATTTATCCCCCCCCCATTTGTCCCCTCCATTTGTCCCCTCCATTTGTCCCCCCATTTTCCCCCTCCATTTGTCCCCTCCATTTGTCCCCTCCATTTGTCCCCTCCATTTGTCCCCTCCATTTGTCCCCTCCATTTGCCCCCTCCATTTGTCCCCTCCATTTATCCCCTCCATTTGTCCCCTCCATTTGCTCTAGGTTTTCTCGGTCTTTATGTCCTGGGATTGAAAGCCAAGCACATTTATCATTTAGCTGATTGATTTTATGTAGATGATCGAGTTTCTTTGCGTCAGTCAGCCTTGCATAATCGATATTGCATTGAATGTGCCAATCCTTCTTACCATTACAATGATGATTTTATTTCTCTTTCAAAAAAGTTTGGCCCGGGTCGTGTCACTTGCTTCTCAGTATATCTCAGTATATACCTTATTATACTATCACTAAGATCTATTTATGGGTTAAAGAAAGCTGAAAATTCTCTCTGAGTTTCCTCTCAATTCAAAATTCATTTTTCTAGTTCCCACAAATGCATTTGTGTTCTGTTTCCTTGCATTTCGGCTGCCGTTAACAATGCATGCTTTGCCATTGCAAATTCCAAGACTTCCTGGACTGTATATTGCATCATCACAGATGTGATGTTCCCGTAATGCATGAACTGCTCCGTGGTTGTGTAGCCAACTTTATTTAAAGATTAGCTTTGTGATATTTTCTATTTAATTCAAATATCACTTTTCACCAAATTTAGCTGGTATTTACTGTTACTAATGCGTCGCCCAATGTGCCCCACAAACGATGGCACCGATGACTCTGAAAACATTTTGCAGCTCTGTCTATCCAATGTAAATTCAGGGGCGTCGCGACCGGGGGGGGCGGGGAGGTGTCACACCAACCCAATAGTATCTCAATAGGAAATTTCAGGTAAAACCCGCTCGGTGGAGAAACGCTTCAGGTATTTTAGAGACCTTCATGTCATAAAATCAATAAAGGATCAAGCAAAGGTAGTTGCTCCGTTGGTTAAATATGATATTCCTTAATATGAATGAAGGTAAACAAACTAATGATTTGAAGATTTGAAGATTGCTTCTTGGCACTTAATCGAAAGGCCCTCTTTAGGTAAAATTGTGTCTTGTGTCCATTTCCCCTAAAGTTTCTCTGTAGAAGCGTCAACTGCAATTCACTATGAGCTCCAGATATTTTTAACATGCGAAAGGCATGCTTAGAAGAAAAGAGGGATCTAAATTGACAACCAGTGCTGCTTGTTACCTAGCTTGTTACCATTTGGATATGCAAATCTTCCCAACAACGATCTAATGCAGATTTTTTGTATGGTGTTAAATACTTTCCTGTTGAATTCAATAGAGATATACTTCTCCCCTTTTGGTCCTATTTGAAGTAAAGTCCCGTTTGGCCCTATTCGGTTCTGTTTTAACTTTTTATTTTAGCAAACTGTTTGAGACAGTCAATTGTAGTTTAGCTTTATGTAATGTCCCCGGTAGTCACAGCCTTTTGCTTCCAGAGGTATCGTTCCCTGTGTTGTAGTAATTTTTGATAGTAGTATAGTTTGTGGTATATATTGTAAATTTTTAGTAGAACCTTATAAAAATTGTGTCATTGATGCTACTAGCCCTCATTTCGACATGTTTTACACTTAGACTACAAAGAAAAACTTGTCTTCTTTTGTTTATTATGTGAGAGGATTGCCATGCAAAAGATGTTCTGAATAGATAAACTGAATACGGTAACGTTGCAAAGAGTGACTTAGGCATTCTCTTGTTTTAGGGGGAAATTTTTGCTTTTTTGTTCTTTAAACTTTTATAGTCCTGATTTTTAAAGGTTCAGATTTATTCATAAAATTAAGTTTCTTTAAAAAGGAATTATCAAAATGGCCAACAAACCACTTAAGGAAACGTGAAAAAGGAAATTCCTTCACTTTAGGACTGCTGCTCACGTTTCGATAGTTCTAGACCCTATGTATAATCGAAAGGCCATCATGGCTTTGCTCACTTTTTCATTAGAATTAATAATAAAAACAAGAAGATATGCAAGAAAATTCACTCTCCAGAAACATCTCTACGATAAATTTGAACAAAAAGGAGTAACAATTGATACTACTTTATTAAAATTGGGTGTAATGGAACATTAGCTAGTGGGCGCTCTGAGAAACCTCTGAAAACCTTCACCTTTAACAGAAAATATGCAGATGCTGAATTAAGAGGTTCAAAAATACAGTATTAAGCTAATAGGTAGCCCACATTTAAAATTTGTAATCCTGATCTATTTACGTCTTGCAAAAATGATGATCATTGCCTCTTACCTGATTTTCATAGCAGGTTTTAATCTAATGGCAGCGAATTTAAGGCAGGGGAGGGGTGACCAACATTCTAAAAGCCAATGGAAAAGTAATTAATTTAATGGTTTGAAGTAAATTTTACCGTTTCCACAGGGGAGGGGCGTCCTAAGACGTTGGAATGGAGGCTGTTCTGTATAGGCCACGCCCAAAACCACAAGCACGCTCATTCCCAAGATAGTTGTGTTTGTGTTAGAGATTTTCCGTTAACTGACATGGAACTTCATATAAGAAATTGCCTAGTCACGGAAAGTCAATAGCATAGTTAAAATTGCCAAGTAAAAAATCCCTCCAACTAAACAAAAACTGGCTTGCGAAGAGAGGGCTGAGCCCCAAGAGTCTCCCTTCACGGCACCCCTGCTTTTTCTATAGAATCTTTCTATGAGCACAAGCTACACCTATTGTTAACATGATGCTTATTGGACTTTTATTTCTTAGTTAGATACTTCAGCCCGTATCATGGATACGTAAGTGATATATTGCAGATTTTGTTAATAATATCATTGATAGTTTTGTAGTTCGGCATCGGTTTAAAATAATAAGAATTTTGTACTAAATGGCATATCTTTCACGTGCCATATCTGAATTAACTGATGATTCATTATTATGATAATACTATTACATTTTTAGTTTTATCGCAAATTTTTATTTTTAAAAATGAATGTCGTACTACTCGGTGATTCGGTTGTGTTCTTTCTGGCTACATTCTTTTCCTTATGTTAGAATATTGTTTATAAGAATATTAGGGTCCAGAATCATCCCATTTTTTAGAATATCATAAAAATATTGCTCAATCTCGGCTCCCATTTTTGTCCTTCATTCTTCAGTTGCCTGTTTTGTGATGTTGATGACAAAGAATTGCATGACTCGAGATGTCATTTTTTTCAAAAAGCGTGGTTTCTATGCGGGTATGAGCGACGTTACCCTGAAACCAGATCAGATTTGAAAAAATGGTACTTTAAGAATACATTCAGGCTAAAAACGAACATTTCTTACGATTATCGAGGCTGGAAAACTTTTATGTTATTCTTATGAAAAATAAGTGTATAAACATTTATTTTATAAGAAAACTTGGAACCAGTGTCAGCCTGTTGCCTCTTATTTTTTCACATAAATTCAGCCTAACGTGTTTCTTATTTTGTTTCTTATTTTCTAAAGGAATTTCCTGTGCATAGTAGTATCCGGACCTGGCATGTGCTTGATAAAAAAATTCATGCTATTTTACCTATCACTTTCTAATTTTCTGTTGCTTTTTCTTCATTTTTCAATTTTCGCTGTTGATTTATCTCTTGTTTTTTGTTTAATTTCAGCTTGTCTTGTTTGTAATGTTGTCCTTAATTTTCGGGCAAATCTCAGCCTGGTAACTTAAAACATTTATGATGCTTTCTAAGGACGTGTTTTTTAATGTATAACAATTAGAATTTTAATTATAATTTTAATTAGCTATTTTCTGTTCACTTAACATTGGTGACAAGGTTTGAGTGTGGTTTCTTTAGACAGGGCAAAACGATATTGGGAGCAGTTTTGATCCCATGTATCTATGAATTCGCGTAGCCAGGTTCATTTTGCAAACGTTAAATTTTGCAAACGGAGGACATCGAAAGCTCTGTGGCTTTTTTCATAGAATACAACGAAGGCTATATTTTACTTATTTATGAAAATTATTTTATGGATGACTTAAGCACCTAGAATTTATAGATGAAGCAACTCATATTATTTATGGGAAGTGAAGTGCTATCATTAAAATTGCATATGCTTAATTCCTACCGTCTACTATCATAGACTTACTTCTGAACCAATTTCGAAAGTTTTAAAAATCATGATATGAATAAAATTACACCCCAATTCAATTACACGGAAATGCTTATTTTACAATTACCAATATTATGTTACTTGATGTTATTTTCACAAAATCCAGTAACAAAGTTTCACGAGGAAGTGGAAATGAGATGCTCAATGGTGTCGAGGAACGGGCGTGTATTGCAAATGTGATAACTTTTAATAAAAAGCCATGGACTCGTGTTTATTTGGTATTGAGAAATGACAAGAGGTTTACCGTTTGTGGTTTGGTTGACCGTTATTCAAATTTTGCTGTTATCGTTTCTCTGTATTAGTCTGGCGGCCTAACTTGAGCATCTGCTCATACGATTGTTTTTACACATATTCATACATTTGTTGTTCTAGTAGACCCTTTATTTTGGTGCTGCCGTTTTCGTTCAGCTTCTTCACAGCTTGGTCCACAATAAAGACTGGTGTGAATGGAAGTTAAGTATTTATCTTGGACCACCTCGAGATTATGTAGTATTATTTGTTAGCTCGTCATCATTTATGGCATCGTAGCAACTGTCTATCATGGATATAAGATGGAACTGGCATCCCATTTTGGGCCTAGTCCTGTTAACCTTGAGCTGTATTGTAAATGTTATCAAAGGAATAGAAGGTGAGCAGTTACTGTGCTGTTGCAAAAGACAACATTGCTTTTATTGCAAATGTTTTATTTATTTGATTTATATGACAAGGTAATGTCTTTATAAAGAATTTGGAAAACTTTTAGTCTGTTTGTATCAACAAGTTGCCCCATTTATGAGGAAAACTACAAATATGTTTAGCTTCAAATGTTAGTGTTGATAAGAACTTTATGTAATCATTTTTTAATTTCAGTATAAATTTTTGTGTATATATACTTATTATTGATGAACCCCCCTTAAAAATTTTCTTGTAATTTAAAAACCCCTCTTCTTGAAGATGAAAATGCTTTAAATGGATTTTCCCACCTCAATTCGATTAATACCTGTTTATTTATCTCAGCATTCCTGTTTGTTGTCCTAAATTGATGTGAATTATATCACCCCAAAAGTCACAATTAATTTGATTAACTCCCAACTTTACTGAAACAGCGTTCTTTTAAAGTAAACACTTAGAATTGGAACCAGAATTAACTTTGACTGAACAAGTAAACAGGTTTGCGTTTCATGTTGTGCCCTGTAATTGCCCAATGTTTTCCAATTTTTTATAGAAAATTTTACATGCTCTCCAAATCCAAGCATTCAAAAATTAACTTGTTTAGGTCTAAGAGAAAAAGAAAGATTGAATTGGTACCAAAATGGTTTAGAAAATGTCTGATTTTCAATGTGAGCTTGTGTATCAGTGACAAAATGTTGCTTTTTTCTATGATCATCCTGGTTTATGCTTTTTTGTTTATAGACTGTCATTTCTTTTCAGTTCCTGTTTCATTGCCTGAACTTGGACTTTGGAGGACAGTCATAAATGGCACTAATCCTTCAGCTCGCAATTATGTAAGTACAAACAAGTGACCATGAAAATCTAGACATAAATTTTTCAGGGCAAGGGGTATGGTAATGGAAGCTTTTTGTATGAAAGTGTTTGGTCATCTCATTGATTTTGAATCAAACTAATAATGAAAGATTTATACAAAAAGCTTCCTGTTTACTTTTTAAAGATCTCAATTCAGTAAAAACCTCTGCTTCAGCAAGATCCAGGAAAAAATATTGAAGGATTAATTGAAATTTTACTTTAAGATTTTATCAGTGTTGAAAGACTTTCTTAAAACTTTAGCCTAAATATTAAAACTCTACCTTTGGTCTGGCTATGACCCTCTTTGTGCAGACCCCTAGTAAGGACCAACCACATTATCCAATGGCAGAGTGCTGTAACACTCAAAGTCTAACTTATCAGGCAATGTAAACATAATCAATCATAATCAGATTAAGCTTCACTTTGCAGCTAACATAATAAGATAAGATAATGCCTCAAAAAATACTTCAGCAACCAATCAACAAAAGTTTTCAACTGCAGGCCTGGCTGTAAGCATTTTAGCAGGCAAGTGGTACATCACTCTCCTCGGTAAAGTCAGGTGGGCAATTTTTTTCTCTTGAAAATCGTTGATAAAGGTATATGAATAAACAACAGTCTCTATCAGCTATATTTGCAAAATAAGATGGCGACTCTCTGACAAAAATAAAACGATTGTTTTGTATAGTCGCAAATCAACAATATTCTCACTAGCAAGATTTGAATAGAACCAAAAGTAAATAATCACATAGTGTGATTTTGTTATAACATTAGTACAAACTAGCATTCATCAGAAAGCTGTTCGTTTGATGTTCAAGTACTTGAAGGCTTGTTATTTACGAGTTCGTTGTCACAGGAACATACACATATCTTATTAAGCAAAACTATTCAGCTATTTCTGGAAGTTTTAAGATTAAAAGATTTTGAGAGATGACAGTTTTTTACTGGTCCTTAAAAAGTTTTATCTATCAGTGGGGGATCTCCTGTATACTTTGATCAACATTATAGCCAGTTATGAGAAACCACAGCTGTTCATACATTACTTAGAGTTATTAAGCACCAAGTTTGCATCTTCTTTCCATCTATATCCTCAATTTTTCTTCAAAGAACAGCTTCCTTGTCGTATTTTTTGTAGTAGTTAAGGGTCCGCAAATCATGTAGTAGTTAAGGGTCCTTTTTGGTTTTTCGTAGTTAATTGTCCTAGGGGTCATAGGGGTCCTAGGGTCATAGGGTCTGGTTTTTCCAGTATGCCCCCGAGTCAAGCGTGGAGGCACGCGCGGGCGATCGCCTGCCTCAAACAGCCGGGTCTGCAATTGTGTCAATTGGAAGGTAGAAGTCATACTATGTTTAGTGACATTTTCAAACACACTACATCAGGCATCAAAATTTATACTTTTTATACAAATTTATACATTATATAAAATTTATACAAAATTTAACAATGTTGTTACAAATTAGTTATGACAAGATCGCTTAACATAACAGATTACTTAAGCAAGGGGGTGAAAAGAGGGAGTAATCTGCAATCAACACCTGGTGCTTTATTAATTTTCAAAACTCAGCGATTTAAAGTTTTGATCCAAGAGTTGTCTGCACTGTTCACCTGACTATTCTGTTCTTCGGTGATCACGGCACCAGGAAACAAAGTGGAGCCGGTGTAATATGCGTTTTGGTAGGTGTAATATGCGCTTTGGTACCCTATGCAAATATATAACATTGTAAAACGCAATGTGTTTCAAATCATGTGATTTCATCGTAGTGCGATATTGTGACTTGTTATAATTAACAAATTGAACACAAAGCTTTTTGAGTTTAAAATTTCACACTTTTCAATCAAGAAAACTTTGGAGTCGCCATTTATGTTGTACTTTTTTGCATAAACTTCACTGCACTGCTCCTTGTTAGTACCCCCTTATTAGAAATAGTTCGATTGTTCTTTCCATTCTGAACAATATGAACCAGAACATTTGTGTTCCCAGACCGGTTCGCATGCTAAATTCCACCATTCGTTTTGATGCCCTATTGTTTAAGTGCTTGGGTACGATTTTGCATAACCAAAATTGCCATGCATTTGAGCACCCGGACCGAAATGCATAAGGTTACCAAAACGCATATGACACCACCGACATTTATTGGTTGGGGAAAAAACGGAACTATCGGAAGACTACAAATGCCATACAGTCTTATGGGTATGTGCCTTCGTATTGCAATCAATGATGATATATGGACTGATGGAGAGAGATAAAATATCTTGAAAAGGGCAACAGTGCTCTATCTTTCGGGGAGGGGGGATTCGTATTTGCAGGGGCAAGGTAAAGTAGAAAATTACAAAAATTAAATTGTGTCTGAACATCTTTGTCC